AAAGGAGGAAGGAAGAGAAGATGACAAAACCAACCTAAATATACACAAATATTATTAAGAAGAAAGAAATAATCTGAAAGACATATTATTGAAAAAAAGAGTAGGAATAGAGAGAGAGTGAGGGTATAGAGAGAGAGAGTGAGGGTACGAGAGAGGGAGGTTATAGAGGGGATATACATATATGCGGAAAATGATCTAATGCAATGATTGTATAGTAGTATAATGCAATTACATATTTAGAAAACCATATTTTTGGCATTTGTATGACTTCAAATTTTGCACACATATTTTTTTCATCCTTATAATCAATCCTATGAAAAAAAAAATTCAATTTACATCCTAGATATGGTCAAAATTAGTACCCATCCAATAATGAATCTCGACCATCCATTTGGTGAATTTCAAGATCTAGGCCTTAACAAATTCAAAATTACCTTTTTCTTTTAGCATTATTAATCTAATGATGATTACGCTATATAAAAACTTTGGGAATAAAAAAACTCCTTATGAGGCATATATCTTACCATCTCAATAAAATGGACGGTTTATATTAATTTAGCTAGAATGAAAACCTTCCAGAACATTTTTTCAAAATTTCCTTTTTTGTTATTGTTCTTCATAATGAAAAAAATGTATATATAAAAATTTATATCAAATAAATATTTTTAACATAATTTTTGAAGATAATTACATTATATTACTATACAACCGCTCTATAAAATCATTCCCCATAAATAAACATATAGGGGTTTGGACAAAACTTATCTCCCACTTTGAGAAAAGGCCCAAGTATGGACACCTGGTGGGGCTTGGACACCCATTTCCCACTCATCTCCCACTAAGGAGAAAAAAAGACACAGTTTTATAGTTTGGACACCCATCTCCCACTTCGGGCAAAATTAAAAAAGACCCTAGTTTTATCTAGATCTGCGGTAATCTGGAATTAGAAAAGGAAAAACATGTAAAGGAACCATTTACTTTTGGGTGAGGTTTGTGTAAGGTGTCAATCTTATACCATTGAAAGAAGGTGTACCTCAAAACTATATCGAAAACGTAGTTTTATTGCCCCAAAGCTTTGTAATGATATGAAAATCTATCGTTTTTTTAATTATGAAATTTAAATTTCTATAAATTGTTGCAATCTAACAGATCTATAAACACTTGAAAATCTTGAAAATGGACGGTCCAAATAATATATTAGAAGATAAACTATTTTTAGTACTAAAAAACATCTTTTATTTTGTCTATGAATCTCGAGGTTGGTTTTAGAATCTTCTAGCATAGGAACAACCTTCTCTAGTGGTTTTTTAGGTGCACCTTACTTGTACAATATAAGGTTTACACTTTATATAAAGTTTTTTCTTTACTTTTACTACAAGGAGGTCACGATAATGGTTCTTACATGGGCTAGATGCAAAGTTAAAAAAGAATTTGTCAAACTTCATGACACGCCCTAAGCCATACTATTCGATAACTAATGGCTAGGCCTAGGAATGTGACATCCCTGTAATAATGGCAAATTGTCTAATAGTATACAATCACAAATATATATATAGATAAAGATAAAGATAGGATTAGCCCACTAGCTCATATGAACATTTGAGCCCAACATTCCAAATTGATTTTGGGCCGATCTGACGATCACAGATATCTGGTAATGTTGTAATTTTTAGTTTTTTTTTCTATTAAATCTTAAATTACTTG